AAAAAAAAAAAAAAAAAAAAAAAGAATTAGGTTTAAGACCAGGCACAGTGGCTCATGCCTGTACTCCCAGCACTTGGAATGCCAAGGTGGGTGGATTGCTTGAGGTCAGGAGTCTGAGACCAGCCTGGCCAACATGGTGAAACCCCATCTCTACTAAGAATACACACAAAAAAATTAGCTGAGTGTGGTGGCACATGCCTGTAATTCCGGCTACTTGGGAGGCTGAGGCAAAAGAATCACTTGAATCCAGGATGCAGAGCTTGCAGTGAGCCAAGATTGCACCACTGCACTCCAGCCTGGGTGACAGAGTAAGACTCTGTCTCAAAAAATAAAATAAAATAAAATAAAAATAAATAAATAATTGGGTTTAACATTAATAGTACACTAATGTAAAGGTGAAATTTGGCTCATTTTGGTACCAAAAATCATACAGGAAACATTGTCAAATATAAAATGGAGTTTGGCTTTCTTTGGGCTGTATTTGTATAAATATGTTATTGGTATGTATTACAAAGTTATGGGAGACTCCTATAATTCTGGTATATCTTGGCGTACGTTATCAATAATAATTATAAATACATATATATATATATATATATTTTTTTTTTTGAGACAGAGTCTTGCTCTGTCCCCCAGGCTGAAGTGCAGTGACGAGATCTCGGCTCACTGCAACCTCTGCCTCCCAGGTTCCAGCAATTCTTCTGCCTCAGCCTCCCAAGTAGTTGGGACTACAGGCATGTGCCACCACACCTGGCTAATTTTTCTATTTTTAGTAGAGATGGAGTTTCATCATATTGGCCAGGCTGGTCTCAAACTACTGACCTCATGATCCACCTGCCTCAACTTCCCAAAGTGTTGGGATTACAGGAGTGAGCCACTGCACCTGGCCATTGTTATGTTAAACTGTTGTGTGCCACAGAGATAACAGATTTCCTTGTCAATTGGGTCTTTATGGCTACCCTAAAACTTTTTGTTGTCCATAAACAATTGTTGTCTTGTTTTGGTCCTCTTTAGAAGGTGGTTTTATAATTAGCTATAAAGCTCTAACCGGTGCTCTTGAATGCAGGTTTCTGATAACTTTAGAAATTATCAGAATAGAGGAATAGAGGAAAAATGTTCAGGACTCTTTAAGAGCTAAAATATTCATTAATATCAATCAGGACAGGAATTAACTGCATGAACTGAACTAATAGGAGACTGAAGTGATCTTTTTGACTTTTTGCTTAAAATGTTACTAATCCTTTGTTTTGCTTTTCAGAGTCAAGGAAACTTTTATTTTGAGCTATTAACAGCTTGTAACAATTAAGTAAAGTATACTCCTATGAACAAAATTTGGAGCATATTTGTTTCTCTCTACCTGATTTCTCCAGAATTTGGAAACTATTTGTAATACAGTTATTTGCCTAAGTGCAATAAGAATCTGTTTTATTTTGTAACAGGACACAATTGGAAAAGCTGGCTATGTTGCCAAGGCTTTGACTGGAATGGTGTGTTCTCCTTTAAGGAATCAAACTTGACTTATGAATCCAATAAAGCTTTTGGAAACTGGCCTCATATTTTGTATACACAGTCCCTGCACAGGGTTTCTGCTCTGTGGTAGGTAAAGAATGTCATTTTCTGACAGGCCAGGAACCCCAAGTTATCTTGGAACCTCAAGAGGAGAGGAATTCACCCAACTCATAAGTATTTATTGGTACAAATCCATGGCTGGGCTTGGCTTTAAAAAGTCTTATCTCAGATTCCTTCTATGGAACAAAGTTGCATCAAAGCCAATTTAAAAGGCCTATATGAAAACTAATTATTCTTGCTGCACTGTATACAAATAATTAAGCAAAGTATAATAAAGCAAACCAGTCCTACCATGATCAGTCTTTTAATAAAAATAGAAAACTGCAGAGAGAAAAATTATGTTTCAAAAACTATGGCCGGGTGCAGTGGCTTGCACCTGTAATGCCAGCACTTTGGGAGGCTGAGGCAGGCCGATCACCTGAGGTCAAGAGTTCGAGACCAGCTTGGCCGATGTAGTGAAACCCCATCTCTACTAAAAATACAAAAATTAGCCAAGGGCCAACCAAGGCTGGGGAAGGAAGGGGTCCCAGAGAGAGTTTCAGGTGGGAAGGTTGTTGGCAGCAATGTTGGTGCATGTCCAGTAATCAAAGGGAGACCTATGTCCTCTTGTGCCAAGGGCAGGTGGGGCATTGAGGACCCAGAGGGTCTGATCAGATAGGTGTGCCTGTCCTAGGTGGGAGGGGGACCTACCTGCCCTCATCAATGAGGTCGATGGCCAGGGTGCTGATGATGAAGACACACAGGCCAGCGATGAACATGTGGTAGATGGTGCGGAAATGCTGCATCTCCATCAGCTCACTGGAGGGACAGGGGCCTGAAGGTCAGTGTGGGAGGGTCCTCAGGGTCATGTGAACTAGCTGACACTGTACACATGAGGCATGGGGACCAGCGATCCAGAACCTCCAGCTAAAGGCCTTTCTTCCACAGGCATGCCCAGGGCAAATGGGGGACCTGCACCTTAGAAACCCCTTCCAAGTCCTCCCCACAAACCACCTAGAGCCTAGGGATGAGAAATGAGGTGACCTTGACCCCCCAGCCCAAGTCCTTTCTTTTCCTCCGATTACCTGTCGTCACCCCGACTTACTCAAGCAGAGACTTGCGGATGATGAAAACTTTCTGTTTTCCCAGGGATGGCTCCTGGGTCCTGAATTGAGATGTTTGTTCAGGGGCAGGAAGAAGTCAGTGGGCAGAGGGCAGGGCCATGCAGAAGGTCAATACTTGGGAGCCAAGGGGAGTGGTAGGGGAAGGTCAGGGTCAGGGCTAGAGGGCAGAACCTGGTGGAATGTCAGGGCCAGGGCAGAGTGCAGCCCAGTAGGTGGAGGCCAGTGTTAGGAAGACAGGATAAGGGGGAAAGAGGGAAGGCTGGAGTCGTGGTCCTGCCAAGGCTGGTGAGGGCGCATAATGTGATGTTTATAGCTCATGATCCTTGCTACAGAGGAGCCCATGAAGCTGTTCGCCAGACTCACCTGCTCAAGGAATCTGGGGGAGCAGGGAACAGAGGTTTGTGTTGTGATGGGTAGGATTGAATGGCCTCCCACATGGCCTGATCCAGCAGCTCCTTCAGCTGTCCCTGCACTTGCTCCAGCAATTGTGCCTTCACAGCCTACGGGACAAAGCCAGGGCAGAGCCCACTGTCCCTCCAGTCAGCCATCCTTTCATTCACCAGACATCCACTGAGTTTCTACCTATGCCAGGCACAGTGCTTTTTAAAAGAAAAAACTAGGGATGGAGGGTCAGCAGGGATAGAGGATCAGCAGGGGTGGGCCTGTGCGGGGAAGGGCAGGCATCGGTGGGGAGATCCATGATGATGGGTCTGCTAGCGGGGAAGGAGTCCACAGTGCTAAGTGCTGCGAAAGATGAAGCCATGATTCCTGCCCAGAGCTGATCTCCTTCTGGCTTCCCAGGGCAGCAGTGAGGATCAGGGAGTGACAGCAGGAGCAAGGCTTCCACTCCCTGGGTCTGAGTTCCAGCCTGGTCACCTCTGAACTTCGCTCCTCGACCCTGACCTCCAGCTGCACTAAGAGGAAGACTCTATCTACTGGCTGGCTTTTGGTCCCTGCCCTCAGGACTTGTGCTTCAAACCCCTCCATCTTAACCCTAATTCTTTTTTTTTTGTTTTGTTTTTGTTTTTGAGACAGAGTCTTGCTCTGTCCCTCAGGCTGGAGTGCAATGGCGCGATCTTGGCTCACTGAAGCCTCTGCCTCCCCGGTTCAAGCAGTTCTCCTGCCTCAGCCTCCCAAGTAGCTGGGACCACAGGTGCCCACCACAATGCCCAGCTAATTTTTGTATTTTTAGTAGAGACAGGGTTTCACCATGTTGGCCAGGATGGTCTCGATCTCTTGATTTTGTGATCCGCCTGTCTCGGCCTCCCAAAGTGCTGGGATTACAGGTGTGGGCCATGGCACCAGGGCTTACCCCTTAATTCTAACCTGATGTTTGCACTCAAGAACAAGTCATCGGCTGGGCGCAGTGGCTCATGCCTATAATCTCAGCATTTTGGGAGGCCAAGTCAGGCAGATCACGAGGTCAGGAGATCGCGACCATCCTGGCCAATGTGATGAAACTGTCTCTACTAAAATTACAAAAAAATTAGCCGGGCGTGGTAGGATGCACCTGTAGTCCCAGGTACTTGGGAGGCTGAGGCAGGAGAATTACTTGAACCCGGGAGGCGGAGATGGCAGCAATCCTGCCACTGCACTCCAGCCTGGCAACAGAGCGATATTCCCTTTAAAAAAAAAAAGAACAAGTCTTCAGGCTGGGTGCCATGGGTCACACTTGTAATCCCAACACTTTGGGAGGCCAAGTTGGAAGGATCACTTGAAGTCAGGAGTTCAAGACCAGCCTGGCCAACATGGTAAAACCTCCATCTCTACTAAAAATAAAAAATAAAAATAAAAAATTAGCCACACCCGGTGGCGCTCACAAGCTACTTGCTTGAACCTGGGAGGCAGAGGTTGCAGTGAACTGAGATTGTGCCAGTGCACTCCAGCCTAGGCGACAGAGCAAGACTCTGTCTTAAAAAAAAAAAAAAAAAGAAATCATCTTTATCACCAAGCCTCACTCCTGCTTCCTGCTACTGTGGATCTGTCCGCTTGACCTCTGACCTCTGACGTCCCTCACCTCCACGTGTCGGGTCCATTGCACCAAGTCCGGGGCTTTGTGCTTCTCAGTGTTTCCTGGGAGGAGGGATCAAAGGCACAGTCAATGGGAGGAGTTGGGGTTCTGCAGACCCAGAGGCATCTGGTTTTCAGGAAACACTTTCTGTGTGCTCAGCAGTCGCCTTGCACCCCAACCAGCCAATATCTAGTATCATGGGTGGGGCCACCAGAAGGAGAAGTTGCTGTTGCCAGCGGTGAGGATGTCACAGGCAAGCAGGGGGCCTGGGGACATTACTGGAAACAGGGCACTCAGGGAACAGGAAGCTACTCTATTCACCCTCTGGGGTTAACGTGTCAGAAAGACAAGGCCAGGCCACAGCTCTGAATAGCTCTTTTCTGTTCCATCTCCCAGCTGGGTGGCACAGGGTGGAGGCCAGGGTCTGGCTTCCTTGGCCTTTCAGGACCGCAGGAAGGATTGACATTAGGCCATCAGGCAGTTGGAGCCTCCTCTCCACAGCGCCATCTCCCCCCACCACGCCCCGCCCCGCCCCGCTGGTGCCTTCTGCACCGCCCCCCAGGGCAGCTCACCATCTCTGTCTCCACAGGGTCGCCACTCCCCATCTCTGTCTCCACAGGGTCGCCGCTCCTGCTCCCCTCCCAGCCCTTCTGTCCTCTGCAGACGAGGACGGGCCGTGCCTGGCTCCATGGTGGGACCCCCGGCAGCAGGCAGCCCTGGCCTGGGTTTCCTCCTTCCTTCACTGCTTGGCCAGCCCGGTAGAGCTCTCGTCCCACTCAGCTCAGGTGACAGCTCCAAAGACTAAAGTCCTTTCAGGAGGAGGGGGCCTCTGGGAGCGCGATAGGTTATCTGATCCGGAGGGCAGAGCTTCTCAGATTCGGGCGCTCTGCTGCATGTCGCAGGGATGGCCACATCCCTAACACCTCCACCATTATCCAGATACCCAGCTCCCAGGGTGCAACACCCCTACCCGCCCCGCCCAACAGGAATGGTGGCTGGGTATGTCATGGGGAGGGGAACTTTGCCTCTCAGAAGCTTGTCACCTAGCATGGCTGGCCTTCCAGTCTCTCCCCCAGCAGGCTGAAGGTCAGGGAGGAGTCAGAAATGTCTTTCTGTATCAGTGCATTCAGCTCCCTTTCACCACAAGGTGTGTGATTGATGCATGTGGTAATATTCTAATGGGGTTGGCACGTGATTCTCAGGGCTGAGTGCCAGGGCCCCTGAACATCTGCGCTTCCTGACACCTGCTTGGGTGAGTCTGTAGGCAGAAAGAAGGCTCAACACTTTTTCAGCACCTACGGAAGAAGTCACATACAGAGGAAGCAGATGCAAACCTCCCTCTGTCATTTACCAGCTGCATAATTTCAGGCAAGTGACCTAAAATGTTAAGCCACAGTTTCCTCCTCTAAAAATGGGGGCAAAAATCCTCATATCGGCCGGGCGCGGTGGCTCAAGCCTGTAATCCCAGCACTTTGGGAGGCCGAGGCGGGTGGATCACAAGGTCAAGAGATCGAGACCATCCTGGTCAACATGGTGAAACCCCGTCTCTACTAAAAATACAAAAAATCAGCTGGGCATGGTGGCGCATGCCTGTAGTCCCAGCTACTCAGGAGGCTGAGGCAGGAGAATTGCCTGAACCCAGGAGGCGGAGGTTGCGGTGAGCCGAGATCGCGCCATTGCACTCCAGCCTGGGTAACATGAGTGAAACTCCGTCTCAAAAAAAAAAAAAAAAAAAAAAAATCCTCATATCACAAGGTTATCATAAGCTCAGAATGAGTTAGTCCAGGTAAAATCACATGGTTCAGGGGCCATGAGATGAGCTCATATCTTAGTAATAATTTCCTTCTTTTTTTAGTAGGAAGTGACAGAAGTGTACGTGTTTTGAGTGTTCCTCTCTGCTGGGTTCCTGCTGGGATTAACTATTAATCCTTCCCCTCCCCTTGGGTCCAAAGATCAGTGTTAGAAACAAGGTCACAACTTCTGACTAAGGCATCTCAGTGTCTCCCGTTCCCACTCCCACCTCCCGGCTGGCAGCTCTGTGAGGCTTGATGGCTTGAAGCCTCTGCCAGTGGCTGTCACAGGAAGGACTGGAGGTATCCATAGGAAAGGAGGAATGTGCGGTTGAGCCTTAGTAGGGCAGAGAGAGGGTCAGGGGTTCCAGAACTGTGAAAGGTAGACAGAACACAAGCCAGCAACCCCAAGCACAGCTTTATTGACACCCAGCCAACACCAACACTCTTTCGAACTGCATATGTAAAGGCCCAGTGTGAGGGGGACCATGGGGCAGGGCCTGCAGGTGGGTTGTGGGGCTCGGGTTATGTGTCGAGGGATGAAAGCTCCATGTTCCTGCCAGTAGCCCTGCAGCCCCCCCACCTCCCCAGCTTTATCGCCTACTCCCAATGGGGCAGGAGGAGCTTCCGTTGCCATCTGGAGACCCTGGCAGGGGCTGGCCCATCCGATCCACACACCAGCAGGGACCTCGGCGCTGGCCCTGGGAGGAGCGGCACTGGAAAGAGAGGCACACAGGTCAGGAGTGAGGCCAGAGGCTTCCAGCAGGAGAATGGGAGGGGATGCCCGAGTCTGAGGATGCAGAAACACCTGAGGGTCCCCTTGGGACAGCGAGGCCCACTGGGTTCCCTCTCCTTAGTTCCCCCTCTTCAACCTTTAAATTGTGCGCATCCTGCTAGCCTGGAACAGTAGCTTTCAAAGTGGCGTTCCCAAATCTGCATCACCTGGGAACATGTTAGAAATGCGTATTCTCAGGCCCCACCCCACAGCTCCCGAATCGCCGCTGGTGGCTCAGCCATCCACTGTGCATAAGCCCTCCAGAGGACTCTGATGCCTCAAGCTTGAGAGCCACAACTAGACCAGTCCTTACGTGGTTTTAACCAATCTCTACTTCAATGTGTGCTTGATTACTCCGTACGTTTATATAACGAATTACATTATTCTCTATGCTCTCCTAAAGTTGGAAGATCCTTTTTTTTTAAAAAAAAAGAAATTAAAAAAAAAAGGAAGAAAGAGAGAAAGAAAGAAAAATAAATAAAGAAAAAAAGTAAAAAAAAGAAGGAAGGAGAGGAAGAAAGAGGAAGAGGAAGAGGGAGAGAGAACGGAAGTGTTGCTTTATCGCCCAGGCTAGAATGCAGTCTAAAAATGGGTATTGAAAACCTCTTTTATGACAATAATTGTGCTTAATAATGGAGACCTTAAAGATGGGGCAGTGTCTTAGTTATGCAGCTATGGAAGCCCCACTGCCCCCACTCCCTGGCAGGAGCCTTCTGCTGGAGCAGGGGGAGGGGAGGAATAGTCTCACCTGCCGCTTCCGATAGAAGCCTCGGTGGTCACAGTTGGGCACATAGAGGGTCTGAGTCCCCCGGTAGACCGCAGTGTGGAGCTGCTGCAGCACCGAGTCCAGGTGTCTGCGGCATGGGCCCTGGGGGAGGCAAAGCAGGCAGCTTAGAACCGCTCCAGCCCAGCTTTCAGCTCCAACCCACTGGCCTACCAGGGAAGCACCCAGGACCCACAATGGAGACATCTCCAAGCCTAAGGGACCAGTCTCACATGGAAGTCTCCAGGGCTCCCCACCCCTCCTGCTCCCTACCAGCCCCAAACACACCATCTCAGTGTCTTGGACAGCTGCAGAACTGGGCTGGGAGGGCATGGTAGAGATGCCTGGATTCCGCTGTCGGTCTCTGCGGTTCACATCCTGCGGGCGGGCAGTATCTGCTTGGGATTTACTCTCCTTAGGATTCTTCTCTGCAACTACAGAAGGAAAGGAGGAGAGGCCAGAAATCAGCCAGAGCCATGCGGAAGAAGGGCCTTACCCACATCACCTACTGAAGTAAGGAAGAGTGGGCCTTACGCCCCGTCATTGCATGCTGCTGGCCGTAGCTTCTCTCTCTGACAAATAGTTACATTACTTTTCCTGACAATATTTCCCGGTATTTTCCAGAGTGATTTTAAGGCTTATAAGGGAGACATATTTAAAAAAAAAGAAAAAAGGAGAACAAGGATGGGTGCAATGGTTTACACCTGTAATCCCAGCACTTTGAGAGGCGGAGGTGGGAGGATCACTCGAGCCCAGAAGTTTGAGACCAGCCTGGGCAATATAATGAGAACCTCATCTCTACAAAAAATTTTTAAAATTACCAAGGTGTGGTGGCATGCACCTGTAGCCCCAGCTACTTGGAAGGCTGAGGCAGGAGGATCCCTTGAGCCCCAGAAGCCAAGACTGCAGTGAGCCATGATTGTGCCACTGCACTCCAGCCTGGACAACAGAGCGAGACCCTGTCTCAAAAATAAATAAATTATTGGGGCCGGGTACGGTGGCTCAAGCCTGTAATCCCAGCACTTTGGGAGGCCGAGGCGGGTGGATCACGAGGTCAAGAGATCGAGACCATCCTGGTCAACATGGTGAAACCCCGTCTCTACTAAAACTACAAAAAAAAAATTAGCTGGGCATGGTGGCGCGTGCCTGTAATCCCAGCTACTCAGGAGGCTGAGGCAGGAGAATTGCCTGAACCCAGGAGGCGGAGGTTGCGGTCAGCCGAGATCGCGCCATTGCACTCCAGCCTGGGTAACAAGAGCGAAACTCCGTCTCAAAAAAAAAAAAAAAAAAAATTATTGGCCAGGTGCAGTGGCTCATGCCTGTCATCCCAGCACTTGGCCCCAGGCCAAGGCGGGCAGATCACCTGAGGTCAGGGGTTTGAGACCAGTCTGGTCAACATGATGAAACCCTGTCTCTACTAAAAATACAAAAATTAGTCGGGCGCGATGGGGGCGCCTGTAATCCCAGCTACTCCAGAGGCTGAGACAGGAGAATCACTTGAACCCAGGAGGTGGAGGTTGCAGTGAGCCGAGATTGCGCCACTGCACTACAGCCTTGGTGACAGAGTGAGACTCCGTCTCTAAATAAATAAATATTAGATAAATGAATAAAATTTGTAAATAAATAAATGAAAAATGGAGAACAAATTCACAGGACTATTTGGGGCTTTGAGCTTCCAATGAAAAGACCTGGCTGTTCCACCAGAGGCCAGAAGGGGGCGCACGAAGCCCGGGAGATGTGGTAGAAGAGCAACGGATGTAGGAGGGGGGTCATAATGGCCCCAAATGGAATGTGTGTCCCTGCTGTGACCTTGCTGTGACTCAACCCGCTTGAGATGTGGCTACTTCTTGAGTACTGCAGTGGGAACCTCTCCCTTCTAGTACCCTGTGGCTTAGGCCAGCTCAATCCTACTGGTCCCAGGAGCACATGGATTCAACGCTTAACCAAGATCGGCTGAGGGCAGATTAAGACGGTGCAGAAAAAGAGGGGCTTCCAACCTGCAGGTTGTTCCTGGCTCTGGAGAAAGTTTCCAGAGGGTTCGGGGAGAGCTCAGGACTGGGAAGGGGTGAGGAAATAAGTCAGGTCTAGGAAAAGGCAGGAAGGGGAGCACGTACTGCTTGGAATTTGCCTAATATCAAATCAGATATCAGAACCCCTAAAGGGGTCCTCTCTCTCCCTCTATGGCCAAAGACAAGCTCCCAGCTAACTACCACTCATAACCCAGAAGACATTTCCCTGCCATCCTGAGTCTGATCCTTCTTCCTCAGGATGCCCGTCCTCCACAGAACTTGTCCTTGATTCCCTACTTTTAGCACCCAACCATTTAGCTCCAAACTGCCTCCTCTCATCCACCCAGCTCACTTCTAGGAGGACTCCCGGAAGCCTGCACTCAGGCATTTGGGACAGAAAGAACCTCCGTGTTCTTCCATCTCTTCCTGTGGAAGGCACTCAGAGCCTCTGGGATGCGCAGTTTGCATTTCCTGCCCTCCCGGTCTCCCCGCTGTCCCCCATGTTTTCAGTGCTGATTCACATCTGTCCCACCCACCCAGTGACTCAGCTTCTGCTCTCCTCCCTGGAGCAGGGTGGGGTAGGATGGGTGAACGGTTCTGAGCAGGTTTAGATCATAACCACGATTCGGCAGATTCCCTCTCCCCGCCCCCCGCTCTTTCTCCTCTCCCCCACCCTACGCCCTAGCCTGTCCTCAGTCCGTAGTCGAGTCTAATACAACTCTGGATTTGGGGCCTTTTCGGTTCTAGACCCCTCCTGTTCAGGTGCTTCGAACACCGGTATTAGGAGGAAAGGAGTCATTTCTCAGCGTGTGCAGAAATTTGAAGTCTCAGG